TGAGAGAGTGTTTTTGTGAAAGCTTTGTTTATTCCCGTCTCCCTTTACAATGTTTACATCTATGCCTATATATAGGAAAATAAATGACTCCTACTTGCCTTCTACTATTCACAAATGACTTCTACTATTTACTATTACTATTCACACTTTGGCTTTTCAGAAAAGAGAAAGTCTTTACTTTACTTTATGTCACTATCTTCTTTACATCTTTTCTTCTTTATCCTCGTGCTCTCTTATCTTCTTGTCTTTTGTCTTCTTATCTCTTTGTCTATCTTGTTGCCACTTGTCCATTCTTATCTTCTTGTCTTTGTCTCTTATCTCTTTGTCTATCTTGTTGCACCTACTTCATGACTTTTTGCACTATTTACTTTAATAATGTACTACAAAATAATACATATTTTATTTGTCTTTTTGGCCATGTATTTTGTTATCTTTTTTTTTTATCTCTTTGTCTTTTTCTTCTTTTCTTTAGTTGATTATTCTAGCTGGACATCTGGTATCACATTATCTTCTCCGTTGCATTTTGAACATATATGATCTGGATATTTGTGTCCAATTAGTTTACAATATCTGGTTAATAGTTCATTTGAGATGAATCCCTTCTTTAATGCTTTGGTAATAGGTTGTTCTACTAGTTTGGGTAGAGATAATATCCATTTTTGTACTTCGTCCATATCTGCTTGCCTTAGCTCCCTTGAGTTTGAATATATCATAAGTTGGTCTCGTGAATAATAACTCCATATTGCATTCCCATTAAGATAATTATTTGCTAGTTCTTGGATAATTGTTGATATACCAATTATTCTCTTATTAGCATAGAAACTTGGTATCTCAATTTCTTGTATCTCTAGTTGTTGTCCGATATATATTTTTAGTAGTGTGGTAGGTGGTGGTGTGGTAGGTGAGGTATTAACTAGTCAGATTTTATTATAATATTTTTTTTTGAATGGTGTTAATCTTGATATCTCTTTAATATTATTTATGATATATTCTAGATATAACATATCTTGGGTTCTTAGATACATATATAAATTCTCCTCCATTAATTGTTCTAATAGTTTTATATCTTCCATAGATTCTGTCCAATATTGCAAATATTCGTAGTTCATTTTAATCTGAATTTATTTCTAAATCATGCCATTCTATTCTTTCGAGGTCTAAATCATATAGGTCAATTTCATACCATTGTTGATTTAATATATCTTCTGATTCGTTATCATTAAATATTTTTTCCCATATTATTCTTCTTAATTCAATTATCTCTATAACTTTAAGTATATATAAGATTAAAGTTTCATAGTTTTTTATCATTTCATCATGCATGTATGTAGTCATGTTCGTTGTTATGCAGGTTTTTTATTTTCAATTATTCCTTCCTATCATATTCATAATTGATTAAATTCATATTAGATCATTATGAACTAGATTATCTTTATCATGTTTTCCTGTCACTACTATCATCGTACTTTAGCGGAGGTTTAATATATCCTCTGATTCGTTTTCATTAAATATTTTTTCCCATATTATTCTTCTTAATTCAATTATTTCTATATTTTTAAGTATATATAAGATTAAAGTTTCATAGCTTTTTATCATTTCGTCATGCATATATGTAGTCATGTTCTTTACTATGCGGGTTTTTTATTTCAAATTATTCCTTCCTATCATATTCATAATTGATTAAATTCATATTAGATCATTATGAACTAGATTATCTTTATCATGTTTTCCTGTCACTACTAGCATCGTACTTTAGCGGATACTTCCTTCTTATCAGCGCCTCAACTTTGTTTACTCCCCTAAACGACTTTCTTTGCCTATCAGTTTCAACATTAGGATGTCATAGTATAGAAGTTTTCTCCCTGTTTCCAGTGTGCTAATAAACTAGAAATCATGATTCAAATAATTCTAATACATAATAACTAACATAAATTTAATCAATCATATATATGATATTCAGGAATATATGAAATTAGTTCTACATATTTGTTGAACAATATACATTTGCTTCTTTCTTATTCATGCTATCTGAAATATCTGATTGGATTTCAGATTGTCGTTCCATTATTTTTTAAGTATTGAATATCTTAAATATTTGAGAGAGTGTTTTTGTGAAAGCTTCGTTTATTCCCGGCTTACTTTACAATGTTTACATCTATGCTATATATAGGAAAATAAATGACTCCTACTTGCCTTCTACTATTCACAAATGACTTCTACTATTTACTATTACTATTCACACTTTGGCTTTTCAGAAAAGAGAAAGCATTTACTTTACTTTATGTCACTATCTTCTTTACATCTTTTCTTCTT